AAGAAATTTAGAATAATGTAGAAAACGTTGTGAAGTTTGAATTATTAGAATTATTGTAGAAGCTCGATTTACTTTTTGTTTTTGCTTAACATATTAATGTTATATTACCCTGCAATTGTTCAGCTAACTGCAGACGCACTGATCTTAAGATTTTTGATTATTTGTTTAAAGGAGTCTCACCAAGATTCGCTACTAGTAATATCATCGCGTGCATCGACAATACCAAATAGCAGTTCTTGTGGCATGTCGGGGTAGTTGTGCACTACAGAAGCGGCTTCTAGCGATAACATTCCTTTGTCTTTAAGTTGAAGCATCTCCGCTATAGTTTTCAAAATGACTGTTAATTTAGGTACCTGTAGATTTGCAGCAGTTAGATAAGAGCAGAAGAATGAGACAAAATTGAGCTGGGCAGAAGATGTTTGCATATATTTCTTGGAAAAGTTAGCATCAAACGCAGTAAACATTTTTTGAGCGGTAGAACTTTTTTTTTTTTGAAAACTTACGTTTTGATCACCAGCGCAGTCTTCATAGAAGGGTTGGAAGGTATGATCAATTTGCTGCACATCTTTTAGCAAATGTTGGCTAATTCTGCATCGTTTTTCATAGTTTGTGCTGGTTAACCGCCTGGAATTTTAGGTAACTGTGAAAATAAAAACTCATTAGTATTAAACACGTTCTCAGATGACTACGCAAAATCTCAAAAATACAAACTTTCAACAACCAGATGCATATTAGAAGTAAAGTTAAAGCAAATGAAGATTGTTGTGCACTAAGATCTGGAATTTAAAAGTTTTGACACTGATTCTACCTGCTTCTTATTGCTGTCAGATATTCAGCTACATATTTAAATAGAATACACATCTGTAGTTCCACAAATGGATGCCTTTTCAAATGTCTATGGTCGTTATAGTAGTCAACGATTGTTGCACAAATTGTATCGGTTATTTCTGAGTTCTTCAACCTAAATTCATTTTTTTCTGATTTAGAGAAAAAACTCCATGATAGGGGAAACTAGTCTGAATTTGAATTGAAAAATGGCAGTAACTTTGTTCACAGTGGTTAACTATTTTAAAAACCTTACCATTGTTTAGTAAGTATTTTTTCGAACAGATCGTCCAGATCTTCGTAGACCTCTTCGTACAGAATACTAATACTGAAAGAAGTCAATGCAGCTAACCAGAAAACTTTATCAAACCTATCTTTTCTTTTTTTTTTTTAAAATTAATGGTAAAAAATTTGTTTTTTTCTTTTTTTATTGTAATCGACAGGTAAAGGTGGTAATTCTATTTGAATGCTAACGTCATTCTGAGGGTATTCTCAAAATGTTCTTTCAACATTTCCAGTTTTTCTCGCAAGGATAAATGCAGAGGAATCAGTATAGAAGAAGCTCGTTTTTTAGGCATACTTAGTCCAAATAAAGAATTAGTTTCCGAGTGGTCTTCGCGAGTCATACCAGGGGAGGTAAAAGTACCTGTAAATGCATAAATGCATAAACTAGATAAAGCAGCTTATTGTTTCTTTATGTTTTCTTCCTCACGAAAGAGAGTCTAGCTTAAAACCCTTTTCTGTCACTGCTGCTCAATTCATGGGTGGTTTGGGACTAAGATTTAGAACTGGCTTTGATAGGGAGGTTGACATTTTATTATAGATAGTACCTATTTTTCCAGCTGATTAAATTTCATGATTTTCAGATTTATATTAACAGTTAGCTAAAAATTTGGCTTGAAAATGTTGAAGGAACGGAACAGCTGTGGAAAAAAATAAGCAAAAAATTCATTGAAAACTTTGAAAATGCATTTTTCTTCTTATTTCATTCTCTTGGCTTTCTCGATGAATGAATAAGGCAATGTAGTTATATACTAATGATTACTTATGTAAATTAACGTATCAAAATACCAACTTTCATGTATACCAAAGTTTCTTGGCTCCGATCCTGTGCTCGACCTTCTACATTCTGATCCTGTTGGGGAGCCTGAAACGGTCAGTTCCGTGAGTGCACAGATAGCACCACGCAAAGCCAATGCAATTGAGCTGCTTTGGGTCGCTGTGGAATCTGAAGAGTTCTTCCGCTTTGGAACCACATATTCGAGAGCGGATTCAGCAAGACTAACACTGTCTTCATGGTGCTCTAAATCTGAGGTAGTGGCTGTTTCTTGGGGAATGTATTTTCGGAACGATTCAGTGCTCTCTTTGCATTTTTCTAGGTCGTTAGCAATTGCAACCTAAACTCCAGATATGCATTTTGAAGTAAGTAGTAGTTGAAGTAAAGTAAGTAGTTCACTGGATCGTAATCAGAACGAAGTGTTGCAAAATATGATCGTTCTGCTTACCATTGCTTTTGTAAAATCTACACAGTGTTCTTTGTCCTCGTAGCTTTTATGCTTTAATTCTTTTATGTGTCCTGAAATAACCTTAATTAGATCAAAAATCCTATTGTATTTTTCTTCAGCTTTTGTAAAAAATGGTATATTTACTGATCATGGTTTGTGTGTCATACTTTCAAGGTATGTTGCATGTTGCATGAATTCGTCGAGACAAATGTCCAAGATTTTAGGTACTAGTTCGTCATCTATACCTTTTGCCAAATTGATCTAAAGTATTTATTTGACTGTAGGACGACTACTCAGAAATTACACTTATAAAAAATAAAAAATTGCTGGTTTATGACACTTATAGATAATTTTAGTTTTTAAATTTTTGATTTTGTTCAGTAGACACTAAAACTTGAATTGTTACTGAAAGGCTAATTTACTTGGTCGGAAATGATGCTGAAGAGCATAAATGGTAAATTTGTATAATAACAGCCGGCGGTATCTTCTTCGATTCCTTCCATCAAATTTTTGCCTTTTAGATCAAACTAAATAATGCTTTTACTGATATATGATTTCTTTCTTCTTTTTTTTTTCTAAAAAATTCGCTCTACTTCATTTTCTAAAAGTAGTTCTGGGAAACTTTTCTAATATCCAATCATAGTGATTGTTGCAAATACATTTGAAATCTGATACTCTCAAAAGTCTAGTGATTTTGTCATGTATTCTTTATTAACTGCGGTACCTCACGCCGAATCGCCGTTGTTCCCCACTGAGCCACTTCTTCCTTCGTTGTTTTAAGGATTCTGAATTCAAAAAAAAAACAATACTTGCTAAACATACAAAAGCTTAGAATATTGAATGTTATTCTGCGTATTTTATAGTGTGGGCATTTATAGAACCATGAACGACCACATGAGATTTTAGGAAATGGATGGTAACCATGCATGAAAAACAAGGGTAACGGAACTGACACTTTATACATTCGATCAATATCATCCTGTGGTACAAGCGGCATATCTTCAGTCAGTTCTCGTGCATTGATCTGCAAAAATGGATTGCCTAACAGTTCCTTGCTTCTGAAATAAACAGTATATTATGTCCGTTCAAAATAGCTGTTATATAGCAAGGCAAAATAATTTTTTTATATGTTGAAACAAATAAGGAATTTGATTAACTAAGCATAAAAGTTATTCCATTCTTTAGTTCATTCCAGTTTCTGACCAAATAGTGACTTCGTAGAGTAAACCGTAGCAAATCTATATGATAGTTAAGCGGAATTTTAGGAACTGCGTTTCCGGCAATTTTATAGATTGACGGCCCCAGCACGGTGATTGGCCGACTGCTTTTTTGATAGGAAACTTAAAGAGGGGGAGTTCAGAGAGGACGGAGGCAGGACAGGCGGGGGCAGTGGCGGCTCGGCAGGGGCGTTTAAAACGAAGCAGCTTATCTGGAGAATAGACCTTGCCAAAGGCTTATCCTCCAGATATGTATACGGAATTGTGACTTCAAGACCTCCATGACTCTGTTATTTAATCAAGCTGGTTTTTAGAAATGTTCTTTTTTACAATCTGAATACCTACGTGTAATCTTTCACCCAGTTAAGGAGCTGAACAATTTCTCGTTTGTCCAAATCAGTGGCCCCAATTTCAGTAAGCTGAAGAGACAGTTTGTTAGCAGATAAAGCTACACTTGGTTAGAGACAAAAAAAAAATACATTTTTTAGACTGACCTTTTTTCTTATATTTTGATGATAAAGAAGGACAAATCTGTCATAAAGCTGGTGCTCTTTTGGAAATGATGCCAAGAACTTCTTTGCTGCAGCCAGGTCATCCATAATGAACATGCGACATATTCCCAAATATCTACAACTCACACTATTATTGTTGTTTGACCAGATGCTTGAAGAAACAGTTTATCAATTAGTATTAGTGTTACAGTTTTAACGGTCTATAAAATTGTACCTGGTAATCCAGTCTTTGTTCACAAAACGATCTTCGATTTGATAAACTTCTATACGTTTTTGAATCGAATTTTCAATAATTTCAAAAAAGTATTTTTTCCAACAATGTGGACGTTTTTGCAACTGAATATGACTGTTTTCGTACAGACTATCCACTCTAAAAAAACCGTTGAAAATTATACCATCTATAGTATATATATGTATGTATCTTTTGTTACGCAGAAGACAGAGAGTTGAGTTGAAGATTCTTCGGAAAGTCTGTTTTGAAAATATAATAGAAATTACTTTTCGTCAATTTCAATAACACTCAAAATTTCTTCCAGCCGTTTTCGTGGTCCTTCCTCCTTGTTCCTCATTATATCTAACGCTCTGATACAATAATATTTAGCTTCTTTTTTGTACTCCTCGTAGACGCCTTCAATTGGTTCAAAAAACAGTTCGATCTCCTAAAGTTACAGCTTTAAACGTGCTCGGAGTATAGGCTAAAATCGAATTTGGCTTACTTCGTGAAGAGCTTTAATGTTTTCGCTACTTCTACACTTTTCTAACAGATGGAAGCGTACACTTTCGGCATCTGTAAGTCTGAAACAATTCTAGTGAAACAAGTATAAAATGGTCCTGTACAATAAAAAAATTAAAAGTTTTGAATGAAACATTTAAGAAAAAAGAAAAAATGTATGACCTTAGAAATCATTTACCTTTCGTAGGCGCGAAGAAAAAGGCCTTTTTTGAAATAGTCTCTTGCTTGCTGACAAATTGAATCAACCGTACAGTTTGCTCTCAGCTCAGTTTCAAATCGTTCTTGCTGCTTTTGAAGCTCGGAAAAATACCTTTTGATTGTCACCAGCTCTGCATGATAACATCCGCCTTCAATCTCCAGTACGCTAAATGAATGACTTATCATAAAAAAATAATATTTCATTGTAAGAAAAAATGATTAATGAAATTAGCTAAAAAAAATTTGATTTCTTACTCATCAAAGATTTGGTTTCTTTCACTCTCTTCAATCTTTGGCTCTTTTATCAATATTTTACGAATCTCCGACTGAAGTGATGGTTTATCCTTCTAAACAAAAATCAGTGTAACAAAAAGTTACGATATTATAACTAAATTTACACTGATAGAGTAGTAGATATAGGATAGAAGGTACACCGTCAGTTAGGCTGTTATTTGAAGATAGCAGAAGATTAGAATCTCAAAAATGTACACAGAAAATAAGGAAGAAAGAAGTTATTAGAAAATGAACCCTTAAATTCCCAAGCAGTATTAAAGAACCTGTGCGTAAAGCAATGGGAATTCAGGAATTTCATAGAACAGGCTTGGAGTATCGCCACTACTCTATAAAGGAAGTCAATCTACTCAATGTGTAATAATAATGTCAACCTTAAGGAACTGTTGTGAAAGCCGTGAATTGTAATACACGCAAAAATGCATTATTGAAGGCAATTTATTGTTTACTATAAAATATCTGTTCTATGGGTATTACCTTTGTAAGCAAATAAAGTTTTGTTTTCATCATACCACCGGTTTGCGATGCATTGTCATTGGTATCACCGTTTGCCTAAATATTTTTTTTTTCTGCTAAATACTGTTAGGAATTTTCTGCATGCTCAAAAAAAAAAAGTGTTTACCGATCACGAAAAAAAATGCAAAACGAAAGTTGACCTGATTGTCGATAGAATTCAATAAACTTTTGCACCATCGACGTGGTCTGTTTAACAGTCCTTTTTTTCCAGTCTGTTTTAGCATATCACTGAGAGCGTCCAATCTTGAAAAAAAAAAA